CACAGTGGCTGCAATGATGAGTTCAGGTATAGCAAGGACTGTGAGGCTGGCACAGGACTGGGCAGTGTTTCGTTCTGTTGCACATAGGGTCGCTATGAGTCAGAGCCAATTCAATGGCACCTAACAACAACAACTGCTCCATGGGAGAAAGATAAAGCAGTATGCTTCTGTAAATATTTACGGCCTCAGAAATCATTGGGGCAGTTCTCCTCTGTCCTGTAGGGTCACTGTGAGCTAGAATGGACTCGATGACTGAGGTTTGGAATTCCTCCTTCCACCCACTGTCCTTTTATCCATCCCCCCCTTCCACACATCCTTCTCTCTGTTCTTTCTCTTGCTGACTGTTGCATCCTCAGCATCTGACATATGGTGAGGGTCAAAACTATTTGCTTAACAAACAAATGAAATATGTAAGACACCTCACTATATACCAGGCACTCTGTTCAGCATCAGAAATTAAGGAATCCTTGCTCCACAGGGCTCACCATCTAGTCTTGGAAATAGTACAACTAAGCAAACTTAAAATTCACAGTATGATTATTATTCATTGCCATCAAGTCAATTCCAACTCCTAACAACACTATAGGACAGAGGAGAACAGCCCCATAGGATTTCCAAGGCTGTACACCTTTAGAGAAGCAGACTGCCTTATCTCTTTCTCCCATGGAGTGGCTAGTGGGTTTGAACTGTCGATCTCTGACTTAGCAGCTGAACTCTTCATCCACTGCACCACCAGGTCTCCTCAGTGTAATAAATGTGTGCCCTCTATGATCAAGCTCCTGACACAACAATGGAGGTCAGCAGGAAGATGTTGTTCATGCTGCCTGGACCGGAGTAGAAGCCTACTCCAGAGAAGGCTTCATGGAGGAGGGGATACTTGAGTGGAATCCTGAACGATGAGTAGGAGTTCAAAGGGGAAAGCAAGACTCTAGGTAAACCACACAGAGAACTACAATGCAAGCTCATGAGGACTGCACCCTACCTGCCCACTTGGCCCTGAGGCAGCTGCTCCACAGATGCTGGCAAAGCCCTGGAAGAGCAATGAATGAGGTGGCGGGCAAAGAGCTGCAGAAAGGCTGGCAGGGCCCAGACTGGGCAAGGCCCGAATGCCAAGCTCAGAAGTTTGGGCTCTACCCTGGGTAAATCTGGGAGCTGGTAGGAGGTCTCAGGCAGGGGAATGACATGCTAGAATTTACTGGAGAGCAGACTGGAGGGGCTGGGGGCTCACTTGGGAGCCTAGAGCAATCTTTCCAGGGTAGAGGCAAAGAGAGCAGCAGGGAGGAAGGGGGAACATGGGGATAGGGATTCAATGACAGGACCAACCAGGACCTGTGAGATGGAATAATACCAGCTCTTTCCTCACAGTGCTGTTGTGAGAGTCGAAGTGCAAATACTAATAAACAGAAGCACTAGCAGACATTTCTGTAGTACTTGCTATGTGCCAGGCACTGTCTGAAGCACCTTAAAAATTCACTATTTATTTTGTTGTTATTGTTGTTGAGAATATACACAGCAAAACACACCAATTCAATAGCATCTACATGTACAGTCAGTGACACTGGCTACATTCTTCAAGTTGTACAACCATTCTCACCCTCTTTTCTCTGAGTTGTTGTCCCTCATTAACATAAACTCACTGTCCCCTAAGTTCCTGTGGAATCTTTCAAGTTGCCATTGTCAGTCTGTCCAAGCATCACCTCAGTTAAACTTCACAACTCCATGAAGTTGATAATATTATTCCCATTTCACAGATGGGGAAACTGGGACCCAGAGTTGTGAAGTGACTTGTCCAAGGTCACCCATGGCAAACCCAGGATCCAAGTCATGCAGACTGGATAATGTATGTGGAGTGTTCAGCACATGCATGGCACACAGGAGGTGTGCAGCATTAGAGGAAGAAGGGGGTTGGAGTGGCTGCTGTGTGTGTTGGGGGGAAGATGAGCCTAGGTAGAGTACGGTGGGTCTGCGGATAGGGTCCTTGAGGTGGGGATGTTGAGGAGACAGCTGGTGCTCAGGGCCTGGACCCTAAGGTGACCCCCAGCCTGGCCATTACTCTCAGGCTCCTGAGGAGGATGTTGTGGGAGAACCACTCACCTTCTCTCCTGGTTGGATCTTGATGGACACACGTCGCACAGCCAGTGGGAGCTCAGGCCGGTACCGCAGCCCAAAACCTCGGAACTCAATCTGCCCTGCGTGAGGCCAGGGGGGCTGGGCTCCACAGCTGGGCAGCCTCCAGGGGGCCTGAGGCAGGAGGAGACACTGAGTCAGAGGAGCATTTCCCCAAGGCTTTTTATTAAGTGGTCTGCCTCTCTGAGCCTCAATTTCCTGTCCTGTAAAATAAGTGTGTTTACTGCTATTTCACAGAATCGTTATGGGAATTCAATGACAGCATGGAACACAGGCTACAAACAGAGATCTGGTATAAAAATAATTATTGTGACAGCTGCCTTTTCTCTGTTTTATTATGAATAATGAGCCACTGTTTATTGTCAAATAACTATGTTCTCTCCCCCTTTAGTGGGACTAGACTTTGTGAAGAGGGCAAGACCATGGCGGAAATACTGCTGTTTGCAATCCCTGTGACCTTCAGCAGGTCAGTCAATGTCCTCGAGTCTTGATTTCCCCATCTGTCAACAGGGCTACTAAGAGCAGTGACCATGTATTGAATGCTTATGGTTGTGCCAGACACTGTATGCAATCTTTTATTGGAGGATCTCATTTGACCCTCCTAGTCAAACCCTCCTAGTAAATCATGTTACAGGAGCCTGGTATACAGGAGCATACCAATGTTGCTGGTATGCTGCTGTAACTCTTATGATCCCCTGAGGCTCAGATGGGTGACCAGCTTTGCTCAAGCGAGGAAGCAAAGGCACCAGGATTGGACTCTGGCTTCAGACCCCATGCTCTTACCCATTACTGGCACCCTGCTGTGACTCCAGCCTAGGCTGGTTGGGGATGGGCGATAGATGTGGACCTGGGTCCACTGCCCTCCCGTTTAGGTCTTGGTTGGGGCACCCCACCCCTGCCCCACCCTTTCACCTCCTTGGGCGTCTGGGCGTAGTCCTTCATCCTCTCCACGGACACAATGCTGCTCTCCAGCTCTGTCCAGCTGCGGACAGCCCACTGCAACATCTGGGTCACCTGGTGCAAGAAGACCTCTCAGGCTGTGCCTTGAAAGACCTTCTAAGACTATAGCAGCCATGCCCCCCACCACCAAGGCAGGGGCTGGGAGGCAGGACTCAGGGGACCAAGGAGGGGATGCAGTGACAAAACGGTTTGAAGACCTGGGCCCAATGGAATAGGATTTGTCTGCAGCAAATGAGACCTTCCCACCCTTCTTTCTTCCTTCCCTCCCTCCCTCCCTCTTTCCCTCCCTCTTTCCCTCCCTCCCTGCCTCCCTCAAACCAGAGCCTGCAGAGCTGAAAGGAGCCCTCAGATGTTAGCTCTCTAGCCAGTCTTGACACAGGTTAGAGACAGGATCAGAGAGCGTGTGTGGTCCTCCCAAGGACAGCCAGCAGGGCCCAGGCCCACTGACTCCCAGTTCTGGGAGCTTCCCCAGGGACACTGGGCCTCCAGTGATCTCCCATCTCAAGCTCCTCACCAGGGCTTATGTGCCCTGTGTGCTGCGGCCCTCAACCTCCTCTCCCTCTGCTTTTGCCCTTTCACCCCCTCCAGCCCCTCTGGCCTTCTTGCTGTTCCTCAGACACACTTGGCACACCCCTGCCTCAGGGCCATTGCCTGGAGCCTCCTCCACCAGGTGCTTTCCCTCCATCATCACTTCCTTCTGGGCAGAGCCCACAAGTCCCCTCCTTAGAGAGGCCATGCCTTGCCATGCAGTGGAAAAATGACCCCTGTCATGCTCTACCTCTTACTTTGCCTTATCTTAGGCTCTCTGAGCCTTAGCTGTCTCCACTGTAAAATGAAGATAAGCGTCCAAACCAAAACCAAACCAGCGGCCATTGAATCAATTCCGACTGATGGTGACCCCGTGTGTTGCAGAGCAGAACTGTGCTCCATAGGGTTTTCAAGGCAGTTACCTTTCAGAAGCAGATCATCAGGCTGAAAGGGGGCTCTAGATGGGTTTGAACCATCAACCTTTCAATTAGTAGTAAAGTGCTTAACTGTTTGTGCTGCCTTGGGACAAGGATACAGGTAATACCTTCCTAATGGAGTTGTGGGCAAGATTAAAGGAGTTAATATTGACAAGGCTCTTAGAACAATGCCTGGGTCGTAGCAAGTGCAACATATATATTTATGTGCATATATATTCTTATTATTTACACAATTGATTATGACCTGATGTTATATATCATTAGTAATAGTTAACAAAATTAAGCACCGTGATGCAGTGGAAACACACTCTATGTACTTTTATCACCACTAGTCTTCACAACATCTGAAGTGATGGGATTACTGCTCCATATTTTCAGATACACACACTAAGGCTCTGAGCAGGAACACCCTGCCCCAAGTCCAGCAAGGACTCCGCTAAGGTCCCCAGGACTCCACCAGGTCCAGCCTTTGCAGAGCTGTATTTTCCTCATCTGTTCATGGTTTGGACTTGGGGTCCTTGAAGATCCTACTGCAGGCATCTCTGGATCTTCTCTCACCCATGAGCCTAGGTTAGGGTCGGGGGGGGGGAGTACCTGGAGGGCAGTGGAGACAGAGAAGCCCACAAGGCCGGCTCTCAGGTGGGTCTTGCTGAACACAGCACACATGGCAGCTACCAACACCAGGCTGTTCCCCAGGATCTCCAGGTTGGCAGCAAGCCACCTATTGGGGATACAGGTAGCAGTGGGGCCAGCCGTGTCCTGATCCGCCAGGACCTGCTTCGCTGGGCACAAAGCCTGGTCATTGGGTCAGCTCATGTACCGTGGAGTTCCAGCAATGGTCTTTCCCCTCCTCAGGCCTCACCCAAGCTCAAGTGGGAGAGGGTGACACTGTTCTATCTCCTCTGTGCTAGCTCAAGGGCTGGCACACAATTGGTGCTAGGTAGAGTGCTACCATTTGAGCCACTGCTCTGCTCCTGGAATATGCCAAGCCATGTCCCACCTTGACTCTTTCGCCACCCGAGCCTTGACCTTCATCTTCCAGCACATCAGCTAGACATCACCTCCTCTGAGAGCCTTCCCTGACTGCTCCTCCCTTTTCTATCCCATTGCTGATTACTCCCTTCATAACAATTATCAATATTCATAACTAAACTGTTTAAGCAGCATCTCCACGAGTAGAACATGAACTTCATGAGAGCACAGTGACCTGTCTGACCCAGTCCAGTATCCAGCACAGGACCTGGTGGGTGAATGAATATGTAGCTGTTATTGAATTCCTACTCTACCATTTGTTTGTTCAATAATTTACCAAATATTTATTGAACATTGAGCACCTACTGTGTGCCAGGCACATTCAAGCTGCTAGGGACACAGCTGTCAATAAACAGATTAAAAAAAAAAAAATCCCTGCTCAGGGAGCTCTGGGCTTTACCATACATGACACTTTGTCTTCCAAACAACCCCACAAGGTGATATGGTTATCCGCATTTGACAGATCAGGAAACTGAGGCTGAGAGGGGTTATATAACTCGCCTGAGATCACCCAGCCAGTAAGTGGCAGAGCTGAGATTTGAACCTGCATCTATTTGTGCTCATAGCTTACGTGCTTGCTCTTCCTTAGTACTGAAATGAAGCCAAGGATGCATACAGCTGCTCTGTCACCAGGCAGCTGAGGCTGGTGTAGTTGCCTGGCAACAGAGGCACCTGTGGACCCCTGTACTTCTTGCTCTGCTGCCATTGGGAACCCTTTGGGTCAGGTTCTATCTGCCTGCTGAGAGGTAACCTGTGGGATCCAGCCTCGGCTTTGTCCCTGACTCACTGTGTGAGCTCAGGCAGCCCGCTTGACCTCTCTGGCCACATAGTATGCTTTGACCTCTGGTCTCACTCTCTAGGCTTCTCTATCCCCAAGCTCTTCCTACCTGTCAGCCACCAGCCGTGGGAAACTGATCCTCTGGCTTTCATCCACACGTGCATTGCTCCGAGCTACAAAAGAGCCCTGGGCCCGGAAGGCCCTGACCACTGCACCGCCCTGGAACGTCTCAGCCACATGGGAGCACACGGATGAGTGGCTGGCTGACTCCAGCCGTCGCAGCTGACATGAGATGGCCACGTACAGGCTCTGAAGTGGGCAGGGAGGGAAGAGGGCACAGACACAGAGAGGCAGCTTTCAGAAGCACAGGGAACTCAAAGAACAGGGTTCCAGACCAGTCTCTGTTATGCTGTGTGACCTTGAACCAGTTGCTTCCCCTCTCTGGTCCCCACTTGCCTTGCAGAGTCAAAGTTCTGTGGTCCTTTTAAAGAGGACCTAGGGAGCTCTGCACCTCCAGTGCCCCCTCCCCCCTAGAATATTTGAATCAGAATCTCTGGGGCTGGCACCTTGGCTTTGGTATTTTTTTAAAAAGCCTTCCAGGTGGTTCTGATGTGATTGAGAACCACCAGTCTAGTTTAAATGTCTCATCTCACAGCACTGATGGCAACTTCTTCACTTAGGGAAACTTGTAGAATGAAGAAAACAGTGTAGCACAATGGAAGCAGTTCATCAAGTTTAATTCACTCATTTAACCCAAGAGTTACAGCCATGGGCTGGGGTCATAATGATGCACATGATGATATCATTCTCTGGCTCTAGGTGGCAGGCTGTGTGCAGCCAGTAGGCAAATGGGAAGATCTTGTAATGTACCAGCTGTGGGCTATGTACCAGCTTCTTTACAAAGTACCTCATTAATTGTGTGGTGGGGATTAGTGCTGTTCCCAATTTACAGATGAGAACAACTGAGGCTCAGTGTGGGTAAGTGGTTGGTCCAAACCTCTGCCAGGGGTAATGGCAAGGCCTGGATTTAAACCAACTTGTGTCCTGAGTCCAAAGCTTGCAATAGAGAAGCAGCCCCTCCACCAAGTCAAGAGGACTTAGAGAAGACCTGATTAGTTACAGAGGATGGTGGTTGCCATCGTTTCCATCTGACTACTACGTTTTTACTATTCTGCTTCTGATTTCCCAGGGGGGCTGTCAGTCTTGGGACCTGATCACAGACATGGTCACATGACCCAGCCTAGCCAGTCAGGATAGTCCATCC